CCATCAGAACGAAATCTCAGTCCTTGGATTTCTTCCTGTGTCTGTCTCACTTTCTCCCTTAGTGATTCTGTCTAGTCTTAGAGCTTAAAACATAATCTATTTGCAAAAGACTCCCAGAGTTATATCTCTAGCCTGGACCTCTTCCCTGAAGACCTGATTTGGTTATCTAATTGTCTACATGACATCTGCATGAACATCTCATGGTAACTCTCATGTATGAGTTCCTGATTGTCCTGGTCCTGCAGTCTTCCTGCATTGGGTAATGATGACGCTATCTTTAGTTGCTCAGGGCAAAACTATGGAGTCATCCTTGATTCTTCTCTCACATCCCATAGATGTGCCTTCAAAATACATCCAGAATCTGACTACATGTCGTCACCTCCATTGCTATTACCCATCTCTTATCTGGATTGTTGCAGTAGCCTCTTAGGGATCTTTTTGATTCTAAGCTTGACCTTCCCCCCAGGTCTTTTCTTGAGCTTATCAGTCAAAGACATTGTGTTAAAATGTAAATCAAATAATGTTACTTCTCTGCTCAAAACCATGCAGTGGCTCCTCTTGTCAGTCACAGTCAAAGCCAGAACTCCTACAGTGGTCTGCAAGCTCTCTGCAGTTCCCTCCCCACCACAGCCTCCTTGCACACCCTACCTCCTCTCCATTTCCTCCTATCAGGCAAATCTGCTTGGCCACTGAGGCTTATTTATAGTTAAGTAAGTGTCTTTCTTAGTGAGAGGAAGGACTGAAAAAAAAGGCTTCAGGAACATAAGGAAATGTGTACAGTTGAAAAGGCATTGATGGGATGGCATAGAAGAAGGGCATTAGAGTCAGCGAAACCCTAAAAGTTAATGTGTGCAAGGGTGCTTCGTAAATCTGTAAAACAAAGCAAATGTATACTATCCATTCATGAGGATATGTTTCCATACTTGATCGTGCCTGAGACATGGGATCAGATCTTGATGGTCCTGCACCCTGGGGGTGAGAGTGTGATTCAGCCTGGCTGTGAACCTGGAATAACGTCTGCTTGCATTCACATGAGAGCTGCCCCGCCCAGAGCAGTGCTGTCGTCCTCAACGAGCGGAAGAGCCCTTACCAGCTGTAAATGACCAGGACCATTTTCCAACAGCTGTGTGGCAGTAGCAGGGAAAAGTCAGCCTATTGTTGGTCCTCTAACCACGGAAATAAGTGCCAATGCAATTCCTTATCTAAGAAATAAAATTAGATGTTTTTAAATTCAAGATGTAGTATTTTGGTCATAAGCCAATATGTCCTTTGTTATAGCCACACATCCAGTAACAAAGAAGAAAGGAGAAAGGCTAATGCTGTTGAACTGACCAGAGTGTAACCAGTTGAAAGAGCTTAACTAGATTGATCATCAGGGCCAGAATGTCACGTAACCTGTAATTGGATAATTGGCCACAGTGTTTTCTGAATACTAATCACTTACTCCTGCTTAGTGGTGTGTCTTTGCCAGATTTCATCATTGTCTCTGCCTGATTTAACCTCTCAGAAACATAGGTAAGTAACAGGGTGCTTTATAGAAGGAGAGAGCCGATGCAGTGTGTATTTACTGACTAGCACGAGACTTTTTAAGACGCTGAATTCTTTTGCTGGCATCCATTCACTGACAGTGAAGAACACTTTGGAAGTATTCACCGTGCATTTCACCCACCAGCATGAAATGGAGTAAGATGAAAGGGGGTCATGTTGAAGTGATGCGAGGAGATTACTGGAAAGGCTTGAATTTGCATTAGTCTTAAGGGGCCACAGACACAGAGCAATGTGTCTATTAAGAATGATTAATAATGTGTAACTATTAAATATGTGATGGTTCGGTCCTTAAGTTGTTCCTAATAAAAAGGTTGGCATTTATGTTTACTTGGTTATATGTTGATTTTTGTTGTGGCAGAGTGGCTGAGGGCATAGATTTTATATGTGAGTTTGAAGAATTCACATACCCTATGCTAGAAATGGCCTAATGTAATTACAGACACGTGCTGGGCTTCACTGATTTTGTGAAGGAAGGAAGTTCTTTGTTCCCTTAATAAAAACTAGGGTAGTTATAGTTTGAGGATTTAAAAAACCATAGTCATATGCATGTATCAGTGCAAGTGTTGATACACAGAAAAGTGAAGCACTGTGCCTGGAATTTCAGAGAGGGATTGCATAAAGGTACTGTTTCTGTTCCAACATAACTTCTAAGCTGGCAAATGAGAACTCAGAGACAGAGTTGAAAAGTAAGATGAAGATTTTATGCATAAATTGTCTAAGAACCTATTGAGAAATAGGTGACGCTGCTAGGGTTCTTCCGTTTGTTTTTTAATTTGAATACCACTGTGTTGAAGCCACCAATTAGATTATTCGACAGCAGTAGAATCCCATAAATTCCTTATGCAGAACTTGTACTCTGTATCACTTGATGAGTAGTTCTACACTAAACTAAGTAGTTCCAGTACAGGATATCCCCTGAGTGTTTCTGAAATACTGAGATTGTAATAGATCTGGAATTACACTGTTCCAGTTGATTGATTTAATTGACCAAAAAGCGTCAGCTGCAGTTACGTATGTCCTTAGATGCTTCTTTAAAGCAACAAGAGAGCGCTTTACTAGTGCAGTGTTTGTGACACACCTACCCTCAGCTACATCACTTTACAGGATGGGGAGGTATTGCCATTTGGTGGGAAGTTTGAGGGTAAGGTACCTTCAGTACAGAAGATCCTGTTATGCTTGAAATTAATACAGGTGCCCTCAGGTCAACTGACAGATAAAAACAAGGTGAAAACCAGAACTGTAGGTAGAGCCTCTTCTCTCCCTTCTGCTCCCACCCCTTTCCCTCCTTCTCTGAAGAGCAAGTGAGAACAGATGTCAAGGTGGCAGAACTGCAGGGATGCTTACTTTAAATGGATGAAGGATCAGGATTTTGTGTATGGTTTTGTTGAGGGAACTCGATATTTTGGGGCCTCGATCATTTGTTTTGCCACTTTTCTGAAATCGAGATGAATTTAGGTACTGAAACTTACGTATTTGTTAACCAGAAGACATAATTTAGTTGATTCTTACATGGAAAGGTACAGTGTCAACAGCACATTTGCATTTTGATACTTGAACAGCTAAAAAAAATAAAGCTAAAGGGAGAGGGGTGGGCAGGTGTAAAAGAGTTCGGATCTTCCTGCAGTGGTATTTTTGGAATCTACAGCAGCGCTGATCTTTTCCATTCAAAGAAGTGTTCATTTTGGATATTGTGGTGAATTTTGTAGGCCTTGTTTATAGGTAAGTGAGTTGTTTAACATATCAAGTGGAGGAAGAACAGTTTTGTTTTTTTTATTTGGTCTAGGTTGACTTCAGCCATAGTAAAAGTATTTCCTCCTTGGAGATAAAATTTTAGATTATAGGAATATTTGCAATTCCTTAAAAATTATAATTATATAAATATTTAATTTTTTTCTGTTTTGCATGTCTTTTCTGCTCATTAGTGCTTACCATTTATTGCAATTTTTATTTCATTATTGCAGTTCTAATAAGAATAACCTCGTTACTGTAATGATAGTAAATACTAAGATGCCTTGAGGACTGGAACTATGCCCAAGATAATGAAGGTTTAGCCCTATTTTTGTTACAAACTTAGCATTTTGGTAGAACTGTATTTTAAGTCATATCCGGGATTCTTGGAGTGTTGTACCTAACGCATGGCTGTGAAGTCAGAACGTAGAGGGAGCTGCTGCATCCTTGGGGACCAAGGGGAGGAGACTGAGAGGGATGCCAGGAAGTGGGAGGCGAGGTTCAGCAGAGAGCAGCTGGGAGCAGCGGTGAGAGATTCGCCAGCTCCAAGACCCAGGAGCAGACGTTTTGACCAGGAGGAGGTTTCAGAGGTCACCCCATCTAGTGCCTTTCAAATTGTTGGAACAGCCCCTGGCTTTGGGCCTGGAGGGGAAAGTCAAAAAGGCTCCTGACCCAGACCTGGCATCATCCTGCACAGTTCTGCTTCCTGAAACATCTGTTTTATGTGTTGAGATTACATTTGAGAAATAGGTTGAGCTGCTAGAGTTTTTTTGTTTGTTCTTTAATTTGAAGACCGTTGTGTTGAAGCCACCAATTAGATTATTCGACAGCAGTAGAATGCCAGTTTTGTAGGTGAGGAAGCAGGCCCAGGAAACTTCTGAGATTACCAGCTCCTCAGGCTGCTGCCTGAAGCTCCGCGTGGGCTCTAGAAGTTGAGGGCGATAACGGAATAGTTGTGGTTTTCAGAGTTCTGATACGAGGATAGGTGAAACTGTTCATACCAAATCTAGTACCTGCTGTTTTACATGAGAGTTAGGTTACTTACATTTTATATGGTTTTAGTTAACTGCAAATTCAGATGGTATTGAATTAGATAGGAAGAACAGATTGTATCTTCAAAGGATTAAGGCTTTGCGTTCTCTGTAATCTATTATTTATTTTGCACACTAGATTCAAGGTAAAATATGGAACCAAAATCAAAATATGTAATTGAAAAATGGCAATTAAAATGTCATTACCTGGCCTCTTGTTTCCCCTCATTTGATATACCAACTATTTTGGAGGTGAACTGGAGGATTATGTCTTACGCTTTGATGTGGTACACATTTTAATGTTTACAATGGTTTCAGTTCTTCATTTTGTTCAAAAACTGGTTTCTTAATTTCATGATTAATGTTGAATGAAATATTCTCTATTAAAAATTTTATATGATTTTCAAATTGGCTAATGCCCTTATACTAGGATCCTGATCATTTGAGCTGAATTTGTTTGCTAGTTCTTAATCTGTTTTCATTAGCTGGCAGTGTTGTGAGAAAAGACCCTATGGGAAGAACAGAATTAGCTTAGTAATTTTGCTCATCCATCCATGTGTATGTAGCACAACTGTTTTCATTCCTGATGTTGCAATTGAAGTGGATCTGAAGTGAATAATTTTCATAACCTTTTGAGTAAATCTATATCTCCTGTCACTCTGAAGTCTTTTTTGTATATCTGTTTTCTTCCAGGTGAGGAATTTTAAATTGGAACAGGAACAAGAAAAAAACAAAATTTTGTCAGAAGCGCTGGCGACTCTAGCCACTGAACATCATGAATTAGAGCAGTCTCTGGTTAAAGGCTCCCCACCTCTCAGCATCCTTAGTGAGGACGAGTTCTATGATGCACTGTCAGGTAATTCTAGAACCCTGCCGTCTGTGTTGTTGGTAATTCACAGTTGACCACCTAAATGTCTTCTTAGGGTGGATGTCACCTTGAGTTTCCTGAAATAAACAGATGGAAATGTATCACTTCAGCTCCCCAGATGACCTACTTTTTGTGTGACATTATTAAGGCCGAAGCCCAAAAGTTTGAAATGAAAGTCATCACTGAGTCTGCCTTTGTTGACAGCGTATGCTGTGCTGGGGCCAGAGTGCTGTGAAGCTGGTTTGTTCCTTTATTTGATGACTGTTAGATACCTCCTGGTGCAAGGTGCTATTATATGTTAAAGGGTAGAGAGATGGATAGTTTCTATTCTCAGAGAGGTCGAAGAGTGAAGGACACATATAAGAAGCAGTTGGCTACAGTATGGTATGCTGTGTGCCAAAGGAGCGGTGAGACCTCAGTGTAGCTGAAACAGAGAAAAGGAAGAGCTTAACTTGGCCTCAGAGATACAGGCCTCAGAGCCGCGTAGCATACTGGCAGCGAGCAGGGACTCCAGAGTCAGATTCCCTGAATTGGAATCCTGCCCCTGACACTGGTCAGCCGTGTGACCGTGGGCAAGTTCCACGACCTTCCTGGTTCTCAGCTCTCACATATTTAAAATGGGGATAATTATAGTTTCCATTTCAGTGGGTTGAGTCAGGATTAAGTGGGTTCACATGTGTAAGTAGTGTTTGGGACAGTGCCTGACAGGTACCACGTGTTCAAAAAATGGGAGATGTGTGTGGAGAGGTGAGAATGACTTGAGAGGAGGTACTGCTAAGTAGTTTTGACTTTTTAGGAACTTCCTTCAGAATTTTGAGGTAGATGTGGGCGGGGTCATGGAAGGAAGCCTGGGAGCGGGTGGTTGGAGATCAGCGAGATGGAAAACAATTCTTTTATGCGAAGAAATTAAGTGCTTATCTAAGTAGATGAACATATACAATTGTTGGGTCTCACAAAACTTGACCATGGAAGCAGGAGACCTCAGTGGATATGGAGTTAAAGGGTCAAATTAATGATAGGAAAGGGAAAGAAGCACAGTGAGAGGTTGTTGAAATGAGAACTAAAGAAGATTAGGCTAAGGAAGTTAAAATGGTGTGATGATACAGGACAAGGAAAATGATGTTGGTGGATATACAGAGAAGAGATTCATTATAGAAGATAAACAGCACTTAGGAACATTAATTTTAGAAGTGTGACATGATCAAAAAAAGCGGAAAAGCTAATTCTAATAGCCAGATTTGGGAATAATTAGAGAAAGGATTGTAATGACTGTGATGATGGCAGTTAGATGTGGTATTTGTGAAAATAGTGAGTCAGATTGAGAAGAGAATGTAGAGACCGGATGTGAAAGCAGTGGAATGAGTGGCAGAGGTAAAGGAAGCATTTAACCTGATTGACGGAGGAGGGAGGAGAGGGTGAAGGACACTTGAGGCTGCTGACATTTCTTCACATCTCTACTCTCTGCCATGTGCAGTCCTGTTACCGCCTGTATTCCTTCTGTTTGGGGCATCCAAAAAGGAAAGCTGCCAGACAGATTATTGGATTAAATGCAAAGAGGTCTGAATGTAAAAGAACCTAGACACTTCAGCTGCTCATCTTTGCTGTCCTTTTAAAAAACAAAGGAAAAAATTTAATTTTTATTTTAAAAAAGGTATTTGTTATAAATAATTCAATGTAAAAGTATGTATAGTGCCCAGTGAAATCTTCCCTTCATCCCTTACCCTAATTGTGCACTCTTCCTCAGAGATTCTTATTAACAGCTTGATAGATTCTCTTCCAGACCTTTTTAAAGCATTCGCGTGGATATATGCATGTGTACGTGTGGGGTTTTTAAAGAATCATGAATGGAAGTAGCTGTATAATTGTTCTAGATCTGCTTTTTCATGTAACAGTGTATCTTGGAAATCTTTCCCATCAGTGTTACAACTTTAGCTCATTCTTTTTAAAGGTTGCATAAAAGTCAATGATGTGATTTAGTAGAGTTTTCTTAGTTATTCTCTTCTTGATAGACATTTAGCGGCTACTGTCATCTTTCTACTTCTCAGTCATATTTTCACATTTATTTCCATAGTCGTCTCCTCTGGGGGAAGGCGATAAGAAGAACTACAGTCCCTGGGTCAGGATTGGCAAATGAATTTCATCTCAAGTGCCAATTCAGATTGGTTTGCAGTCAGTACTGCCTGCTTGATGGGTTGCTGTGTTGAGAAGGATCCCAAGGCTGAGTCCAGTGCCTAGCTTAGTCAGCGTGTTCCACTGTGGCTGGAGAGAAGGAGCTAGAAGGACAGGTGCTTTGAGTTTACTCATCCCTGCCCTGAATGACCTACCTGAGTTTTATTACATTTGCCTGAACATAGTAGCTTTTCTTTGGCCACTCCTACTATTTCCTACTACAAATCTTGGGAATCATTTGGTCCAATGTAAAACTGTATTAAAATTACAGATCAGATGCCCAGGGTTGAAGTGTTGCCCTGCTGATGACCTAGCACGTAATTCACTGAGATCATAAAAGCCTTCATTTGGGAATGACTTCATCTTCTCACTACAGTCTACACATTAACCTCCATTCCCTTTCCTCTTTCTCTTCTGTTACAAAAGAAGTGTCCCCTTTTCATTAAGGCCATTCCCTCCTGATTTGTTCTGGTACCCATCTCTTTGTGCCTTCTCCAGAACTTTTGTTTAGTTATTGATTCTTTCATCTACAGTTTCTTTTTTTTTTTTCTCCCAATTTTATTGAGAAATAATTGACTTACAGCACTGTATAAGTTTAAGGTATACAGCATAATGATGTGACTTAACGTACATCATGAAATGATTGTCACACGAAGTTTAGTGAACATCCATCATCTCATATAGATACAAAATCAAAGAAATAGAAAAAGATTTTTTCCTTGTGATGAGACTTCTTAGGATTTAACTTTCTTAACTTTCAAGTATAACATACAGCAGTGTTGATTATGTTTACCATGTTATACACTACATCCCTAGTACTTATTTATCTTATAACTGGAAGTTTGTACCTTTTGAGACTACCTTCATCCATTCCCCTTCCCCCCACCCCCCACCTCTGGTAACCAAAAGTCTCATCTTTTTCTGTGGGTTTTTTAAATTTGTTTTTGAAGTATAATTGACCTGTAACAGTACGTTAGTTCCTGTTACACAACATAGTTATTCAATATTTCTGTACATTTAAAAATGATCACCATAAGTCTAGGCATCTGGAAGTTTGTACCTCTTAAGCTCCCTCACCTAACTCTTTCAATACCACATTATCTTAAATGCTAACTTAAAATTCCTGGAATAGTTTCCTATTGCTGCCATAACAAATTACCACAAATGTAGCGGCTTAAGTGATGCAGATTCATTCTCTGAGCTCTGGAGGTCGGAAGTCCTGCAGTCAAGGTGTTGGCAGGTCTTTGTTCCCTCTGGAGGCTCTAGGAGAGAATCTGCCTTCTTGCCTTTCTAGCTTCTAGAGACCACCTGCCTTCCTTGGCTCAAGGCCCCATCCTCCACCTTCACAGCCAGCAGTTTGACATCTTCCAGTCGCTCTGACTCTGACCTTCCTTCCTCCCTTTTATAAGGACCATAGCAATCACAGTGGACCCACTCAGATAATCCAGGGTAACCTCCCCACGTCAGGGGCCTTAACTCAGTCACACCTGCAGAGTCCTTTTACCGTGGAAGGTAACACATCCACAGGTTCCACAGAGACTAGGACGGCCGTCACTGGGGGCCATTGTTCTGACTACCACAGTTCCCAAATTTATTTCTCCAGCCCTAACCTCTTGTGAGAGACATATACTCAGCTGTTTGCTGGATAAATAAAAGATGAGTTCTTGATCTTCCTCCTAGGTCTTCTTCCTCCTGGAGTTTGCTTCATTTTAGTAAATGGCACCTCTTTCCTTTCCTAAAGCTGTACACCTGGGAGTAATTCATGGCATTCATGTGCCACCTCCATGAAACGCAGACCGGGGTCCGTCCATTCTACCTTCGCGACCTACTTTGAATCCATCTATTGATATGTTCTGTTACTACAGGGTGCGGGTTAAAAGTGTAGGTGCTGCAGCTGGAAGGCTGTTGATAAGTGATGTACCCGTTGCGAAATGATTTCACTTTACAGTGCCTCATTTCTTCATCTGCAAGTAGGTCATAGGATTATTGGGAGGAATAAACTAATAAATATTTGTACTTAAAACAGTGCCTGGCACACTAAGGGGCTGCCCATTGTTCGCTCGCAGTACCGTCACCTGCGCTGCACACGCTCTTGTCCAGCCGCTTAACTGATCACTGTGCTTCCAGCCTTGCCTTATTGAGGTTCACGCCGTATACACCACCCACACTGATGCTTTGTAGACAATCACATCATCGCATTCCCCAGCCTAGGATCCTTCAGTGGCTCTTCACTGCACCTAGAATAAAATCCAGACTCCCTAGCGGGCCTTCAAGGCTCCTGACGTGACCCACACCTTACCTGTCCCTTGTTCGTTCACTCGCTGGGCTCCAGCCACACCGGGCCTCCTCCATCCTCACAACGCAGCAGTGACAGAGGCTATTGGGTCAGAGGTAAGAGAGAACAAAAACAAGTATACAAACCTGTATTTCATTTAAAGCTTTTTTTAATTGCTGAATCAGAATAATAGATTAAATCAAGCCTATCCTAATATCAGTATTTAAAAGATGTGAGGGCTTCCCTGGTGGCGCAGTGGTTGAGAGTCTGCCTGCCGATGCAGGGGACATGGGTTCGTGCCCCGGTCCGGGAGAATCCCACGTGCCGCGGAGCGGCTGGGCCCGTGAGCCATGGCTGCTGAGCCTGCGCGTCCAGAGCCTGTGCTCCGCAACGGGAGAGGCCACAGCAGTGAGAGGCCCACGTACCACCAAAAAAAAAAAATTTTTTTAATAATAAAATATGTGAGAAAAAGGGTTTTAAAGATACTTCTCTTAAAATATTTGTAAGTTATTTTCACAAAATGCTTAAACTGCTTTTTTAAAGT